CTCCTTTTCTCCGGGATGAGCCCCCCCAGCTCCCCCCTCCTGTCAGGGAGTTCCAGAGCCAGAAGGTCCCCCCTGAGCCTCCTTTTCTCCGGGATGAGCCCCCCCAGCTCCCTCAGGAGCTCTCCAGCCCCTTCTCCTGCTGCTCCAGCCCCTTCCCCAGCTTTGTTCCCTCTGGCTCTCCAGAGATCCCCATCTCCCCCCACCCCTGTAGAACCCCAAATCCCAGCCCCATCCCTTCTCCAGTGGCTCATTCCCGCTCTGGGAATGCTGGGACCCCCCCTGGGCTCCCGTGGGAATGTCTCTCTCCGTGTTTCACCCTCCTGGGTGTCCCAACAGAGCAGCAGCTCCAAGAAGGACAAGGATGCCCTGGAAGACAAGAAGCGCAACCCCATCCTCAAGTACATCGGGAAGCCCAAAATCTCCTCCCAGAGCAGTGAGTGTCCTGGGCCCTTCCCGAGGTGCTGAGCCCACTGCAGCTTCCTGGGAATGCCTTGGGAACCCCTCCTGGAATTCCATTCCCCCCACCCTTCTTGGAAACCATCCCTTCACCCATCCGTGTTTCCACCTGGCTTTTGTGGGGGGAGTGGGAAGGGAGCTCTCCTGGAATCATGGAATAATATCCTGAGTGGGAAGGGACACACGAGGATCCAGGTCCAATCCTGGCCCTGACAATCCCACCCTGTCCCTGGGAGTGTTGTCCCACTCTCCTGGAGCTCTGGTAGAGTTGGGGCTGTGACCAATTCCCTGGGAAATCATGGAATTCAGGTTGGAAGGGACCTTAAAGCTCATCCAGTCCCATGGGCAAGGACACCTCCCACTAGAACAGGTTGCTCCAACCTGGCCTTGGACACTTCCAGGGACGGGGAATCCCTGGAAAACCAGGGCCTCACCACCCACCCTCACAGGGAAGAATTTATCCCTAATATCCCACCCAAACCTCCCCCAATCCCCTTGTCCTGTGACTCCTTGGGAAAAATCCCTCTCCAAAACCCTGTTCCAGCCCCAACCACCCTCTGGATGAAGAACCTTTTCCCAATATCCATCCCAGAGCTCCCCTGGGTGAATGAATCCCAATCTCCCGGATTTCTCCGACATTCCCCACCCCGCAGGCTCCGAGGCCGCTCCCGTGTCCCCCAAAGTGCCACATCCAGGGGTGGCAACGTGGTGACAACTGAACGTGTGTGTGTCCCTGCTCTCCTCCCTCCCCTCCAGCTTGGAGTTCCCGTGTTTCCACCTCTCCCACTCCCCTCATTCCCTCCTTGGCTGCTGGAATTCGGGGTTGATTTGTCACCTCGGCATTGATTTGACGCCTCATTTTTGTTCTTCCTTCCAGCATTTCATGTCCCTTTGTCCCCTGTCGAAGGTAAAAACGCCTCTTCTTTTGGTTTTTGCCATTCACCTCATGTGCTTATAAGTTTGATTTCGTGCCCCACTTCCCCCCCTGAGCTCCCCTGAAAACATTCCCTGGATGTCGGGATGGGCTCTGGGAAGGAGGGATGGCTTTTCCCGCTCAGCATCCCAGGAATTCCAGCATCCCCAGGGGAGCTGGGAGGGCTTCCTGGACGTGCCCTGGGTGCTGTTTCCCCATCCTGAGCTCACTGTGTGTGTGTGGGGGTTTCCCTGCTTTTTTGTCCCAGCAGTCAAACCCGGGAATGTGAGGAATATTATCCAGCACTTTGAGAACAATCAGCATTACGAGAGCCAGGAGCCCGGCACCCAACGCCTCTCCACGGGGAGCTTCCCAGAGGATCTGCTGGAATCAGACAGGTGGGGCCAGCCTGGGATTTTGGGCATCCCATGGTGGGTTTCATGGAATCATGGAATGGTTCAGGCTGGAAGGAATCTCGGTGATCATCCAGGGACACCTCCCACTAGACCAGGATGCTCCAGCTTGGCCCTGGGCACTCCCAGTTTTGGTGTGGGTTGGAATCTCCAATCCACAAATTCCATGGAAAATCAGGGCCTCGCCACCCTCACAGGGGAGGAGTTTATCCCTAATATCCCACCTAAACCAACACATGGAATGCTGGAATGGTTTGGGTTGGGAGGGTCTTAAAGGTGATCTCATTCCACCTGTGGAGCAGCTCTTGCTGCCGTTCTGGCAGCACGAAGAGGCCTCAGCCCATCATGGAAATCATGGAATCCTGGGAATGGTTTGGGTGGGAAGGACCCTAAAAATCCAGTGCCACCCCCTGCCACGGGCTGGACACCTTCCCACTATCCCAGAATCCCCCCCTTGCCCTGCTGCCCACGCTGGGGGATCAGCCCAACCCTTCTCCGTTCGCTCATCCCAGCTCGATCCCAAAAAAAACCCTCCCGAGATTCCCGCCCGGCTCCCCCTGGGTGTCCCCTCCACGTCCTGCAGGGACATTCCCAGCAGGCTCAGCCTCGTCCCGGGCTTTGTTCCCTGCTCCAGCTCCCGTGCTGAGGTCAAGCTGGGCCGCTCCGAGAGCCTGAAGGGCCGGGAAGAGATGAAGAAATCCCGGAAAGCCGAGAACGTTCCCCGGTCCCGGAGCGACGTGGACATGGACGCGGCGGCCGAGGCCACCAGGCTGCACCAGTCGGCCTCGTCCTCTGCATCCAGCCTGTCCACCAGGTGGGAAACTCCACCTCCAGGGCTCCCCTGGGAAGGGTTGGATCCAGGGATGAACTGGGAACGCCGGAGGGGGCAGGAAGATGAACCCTTTGGGGTCAGGGAATGTTTTGGAAGTCTCTCTCCTGGGAAAGCTTTGGGGAATCCTGTGGGTTAAAAGCCAAGTCCAGGCGTGCAGGGCGAGGTGGTTCCATCCCCTGCAGCTCCTGCAGAACCTCCTGGGTATTTTCCATGGGGAAAAAAGCCAGGGAATTGGGCTTTCATTCCCATTCCTGCCCCAAACGTCTGGAGGGTCTTGAGGAGACACTGCCGGTGGAAGGGTGGGATTTTGGGACACAGAGGTGACTCTCCCATCCTGAGGGATAAGAGGTGGGATTTTGGGACACAGAGGTGACTCTCCCATCCCG